ATTTCTTTCTATTTTTTAGTGGAGACGGAGGTCTCGCTCTTGCTCAGGCTGGTCTCGAACTCCTGACCTTGAGCGATCCACCCGCCTTGGCTTCCCAGAGTGCTAGGATTACAGGCGTGAGCCACTGCGCCCGGCCAGGCGACCATTTTTTATTTTTTTGAGATAAAATTTAGAAGCAAATATTTTTTTTAAATAAACAATTCAGTGGTAAACCAATCCAATCCAGAGATGCATTCACTGCAATAATACGTACTGTGGGCCTCCTGTCTGCAGCTGGCGTTCCAGGTTAGGAATTACCGAAGTCTGAGTTAACCATACTTCCCTTGGGGGGCTGTTTCCCTTTGCATAAACTCAACGGATAAAGACCTGACTTTACCAAAGGCGCGATCCCTTCGTAAGTGACACAACCCTGCTGGCTTAGCCCATGTGTATGACGGGTTCCGATTCGCGCCATCCCAGTGCCAGCGCTCAGGGCCGCGGCGGGTCCCTTACCTCCCTGAGGCAGGTGTAGATGGGGCACACGAGCACGCGGAAGGGCTCGCCCGTGCTGCTGCGCATGGTGCCGAAGACCTCGCACAGGAAGGTGATGAAGCCCAGCCAGCGCTCCACGTCCTGCTGCTGCAGCTCCTCGCGCACCGTGAAGTCCTTCTGTGGAGGCAAAGAGACCGCGTCAGCCGAGCGCCTGGTGGCTCAGAGCTGGTCCCGGCCACAGGCAAAGCCCGCGTCTTCAGTGAGGGTGGGGTGGGTGACGCGTGCACTTGCTTGTGGGCAGGACCACCCTGACCTTCAGCCACAGCACCTCTACTTCGGGTGTTCCCAGGCGGGGGGTGCAGCCTCCCCTCCTCTGGCACTGCCCAGACCTGCTGCAGGTCACCCTCCTTCACTGACTCCGATGCTCAGGTGGGGGGATGAGATGCAAGGGGAAATGTCGTTCTCCCAAGGCTCAGCACTTGCCTCATTCAACTCCCCGTGGCTACACCACCTCCCTTTGCTAACCCCCAATCATGCCCTCTGCATCTGGGAGGGCAACCAGAGCACCACCTGCCGCGTACGGTCAGCAATGGGCAAGCGAGGCCCCTCCTGGCTAACGCCAGACACAGCTGCCACCCCTGCCTGCAAGGGCCTAGCGGATAGTAGGAATATTACAGGTGTTCATTCATTCATCCATTCGTCCTTCCTCCTTAAAAATACTCTTGCCACACTGCGTGCCCGGCACTGCACTGGGAGCTACGATGAGACGTGTTCACTCATAAACTATGACACAAGAGGGAAGGTATGAACAGCCATCAGAAGGTTCTAGTGAGGGGACTTTGGGAGCTCAGAGGTGGGAGTTATTCTCAGTGGGGAATGAGGGCCCGGAAAGAGGCCAGGATTCTGACATGGGAACGTGGGGGGTGCGTTTCAGGTGGGGAGAATGACAACAAAACGCAGGCACAGGGAGGATGACATGGGTGTTTGGGAAAGAGGGATGTATAACCCAGCCAAGCCCCCAGCATGGGTGGGGTGGGGAAGACAAACAGGGGACAGAGCTGGGACCGAAGCCCTGGCTGGAGAACGGATGGCTGCAACCAGCCAAGCAGCTGGGTCCCACGGCATGGTCACTAGGGAAGGTTTTGGGGGTGGGGCATGGAGTCATGAAATGCCACAGTCTTACCTGTGCTCTTAAGAAAGGTTAATGTGGCAGAGGTGTGGAGACCAGGCAGAATGTAACAAAAACCTGAACTGTCCGGCGCTTGAAAGATAAGAATCTCTGGTAGGTTAAATGATGTTCAGAAATGTATTTCTCTTGCCCCTTGTCTTTGGGTTTGGCCACATGCCTTGCTTTAGCCAACAGAATGAGGCAGAGGTGACACGGTGTCAGTTCTGATCTGAGGCCTTAAGTATTTATGCTCTTTCTTACGCTTCTTCCATTGTCATGAGAAGACCCTCTCTGGCCTGGCCTGACGGTCCCAGAGGAAGGACGAGAGACACGTGGAACAGGGCCCCATCCAAGTCTAGCCTAGATTAGGTGACCCCTGACCAACCTGCA